ATTTGTTTGTTATTGATTGTATTTGGTTAGAATTTTATTTACAGTTTTATTAAATATATAAGGGTTGTATTTTTAGTTTTTCTTCATTTATTTGCGTATTGTTTATTTATTATTTTTAGCTTATTTTTCCTTCTTCCTTGGGGATTTTTGTTTATGTACCTTAATATTTTTCCCCGTCTTCTCTTCTAGTACTGTGTGTTTAATTGTTATTTTAATTGAACATTTGTTATTCATTGTACTTGGTTAAAATTTTATTTACAGTTTTATTATTTATAAAGGGTTGTATTTTTAGTTTTTCTCCATTTATTTATGTATTGTTTATTTATTATTTTTAGCTTATTTTCCCTCCTTCCTTATTTTTAGCTTATTTTTATGTTTTTCTCCGTTTATTTTTCTCTCTTGACCCTCTGTTACTCTGGTATTTACGTATTGTTTATTTATTATTTTTAGATTATTATTTTTCCTGCTTACTTATGGAGGTTTGTTTATATACCTTAATATTTTTTCTCCGTCCTCTCTTCTAATATCTATCTCCTCTCTCTGTGTGTTATTTATAATCAGTTATTTACATCTCTATTTTCTCATTCATTGTTTGTTGTTTATGAAAATTTTCGATTTGTTTACTGAAATTAATATATGATCACATCAAGATTAAATCTCACACATACTAATTTCTATATTAGTGTTCCCAATTATGCATTCCTTGTATCATTGTCAAGTTCTTTTTTCTTCTTCTGAAACTTTTGTTTCTCTATAACCATTTTTCTCCAACTTAATTTTCCCTAATTTTGTCCCATTTTACAAAATTTATCAAAAATATATTTTTCCTCTCTTTTGTCAATCTAAAACTTTTTACTCTGAGTTGTTCTAAATTTCTGTTTTCGTGAATGTATACTTAGAATTTGAAAACCGAAAATTTAAAATTATGTGTAACTCATTTTTTTTTTAATCTTAGCATAGGAGTAATCACCTCTAGTGGTTTGAAAACAAATTAAAAAAAATGCTATAAAACTCTCCTTTTTCTTCTCTCTCAGAATTTTTCGTATACTTTCTCAAATCACTTCTCAAATCTATCTTGCTAATAATATTTCAAAAAATTATATTTCTCAAACCATTTCTAAAATTATAAAACAATTTATGAAATCTATCTTTCTAATAACATTCCATAAGCTTCGAACCTTTCTAAAATCTCAAATTAAACAATACCTTCAATCTCAATCTACTTAAATCATACCTAATATATAATTTATTTATAACTCTTTAATAATATATAAGTAAAAATATTTTATAAAATAAATCATTCACAAATCCCACAAATGACCAAAATATAATCCAATACTAAATTAATTTATACATTAATCCAATACAAATTCAACATATACTTATTTCCAACGTAAACCACAACCACTTAGATCGCTTACCAAAATAAAGTACGGCGAGAATACAGAAATGACCGAAGTGGAAATGGTAAAGTTCATTTCAATAGGGTGTAATTGACTTGTATGCATAGGCAAACAAGGTTAAAAGATTCTTATCGAGATAGTGGCTCGATTAAATGTTCATATGTAGAGATCTACTTTAAGATCACTCACTTTTAGATAATTAATGAACTAGTAAAACAGGTCCTTTGAAGTTGGTTATCCCAATGAAATTGGAATGGATGAATATAGACTTATGGGCGATGCGAAATTTGTGCTTGCTTTCTTTTTATAGATAAGAAGCCTGAGATCTCTATTAAGATATACTAATATCTAAGTCCAGACACTCTAATCTAATGTAAACACTGAAAGGCATTTGTAAGTATTCTTAACTCTCTGCATTTTCTCGTTTATGGAGGCCCATAAAGTAATTTTAAAATGAAAATAAAATCAGAAGTATATTATTAATAAAGTTGTGGATGGGCTTCCAATTGCAAGAGGCCTAGTGTGCCCTGAGAATACGGGCCCATAATTTTCGGCCTTTTCTATTTCCCTATTGAAGCCCAATGTACCTACCCATGGATAAAATTGGGCTTTCTTAAGTGTCAAATGTAGATTTGTTCCCTTCAAAGAAGGCCGAAGGGGATAGGTCGAAGTAATAAAATATCAACTTTAAATACTTTTTTTTGGTACTTGTAATTTTCACTTTTATTTATTTAGCATTCGTTCATTTTAGTGATTGTAAAACATCCATTTCGATATTTGAAATAATTGTGTAAAAATTGTGATGGAAATAATTGAAATAAAAATWAAAATTAAAAGACTAAAATGGTCGCTTCTTGAAAGTATGAAGACTAAATAAGAAGCTTGGGATGACTTCTTGAAAGTATGAAGACTAAATAGACGCTTTGAAAACATAAAAAATAAAATAAAATGTTGAAAGTAACCAAAATAAATCAAAGCAAAGATATCAAAATAGAGTTTGAATATAGACACCCCGCATTCTTTTATAAATAAGAAGCTTGGGATGACTGCTAAGATGTACCAATTTTTAGTGTGCGACACTCTCTAATCTAACTATAAATAAAATAATAAACAAGATAGGTTTTAATCAATAAAGACGACTTTGGAGATCCTAAAATCACATGAACCAACTAAATAATTAATCAAAAAGCCAATGAGATCATTCCACTCTAGAACAATTTTAATCCAACTATATAACTAATCTTTGGAGTAAATTTTTTATTTGGTTCTAAGATTGATTTATATTCCTACATAATTCAAACRACAGTAAAAAATTCTGAAGCTTTCTTTATTACTTAGAGAATTTTGCAGATTTTTAAACGGATCTTCTTAATTCAAAAAAATAGATTTAAAAATTTGCAGTTTTTTCAAACATCGGCTGTTGTTTGCCTGTAAGACCCTTTTTTCTTCTTTCTTTTTTTAATACCTTCTACGAAATTTATTTTTAAGATAGGTTTCTTAGCAAACTTATTCAAAAAATAGGGCGTTGAATAGTGTTTTGATTACCATTTTGAAATTCATAAGACGTGACGCATCAGTTGTCACTACGTCCCAAAAGTTAAAAGTTATATATGTATATTTTTTATATTCTTTGTTTTTTTAGTACAACGAACAAGGGTGGAGATTCGAACTCAGAAACTCTTGGTTTAAGATATATGCTAATAGCACTGTTAAGGACAACAATACCCCAAGTATTTCCACAATGTTATGCTACTCTCACGACTTTGTTTTTCGTTTCACCCAAAAGGCCTCATACTAGATAATTGTACTTATCCATATACCATGGATCACGCTCTTCCCTAACCAATAATGCGAGACTTTGTATTTCAATACCAATTATTGGAGCTCGAGTATTGTATTTCACTGTTAGTTTAATTGAACGAACATTTATACCAGGCGTATATTAAAGTGTAGACACCAATTAATTTGGAGAGTTGGAGACTCAAATACCCCACGTCACTTAGTGGCGCATATTTATTTTTTTTCCAATTCGTAGATTGTCCATAATTCATTTTTCAATTCAATTGTCAAGGAAAAAAAAAGATATGAAAGTGTTACTTTTGGCTTTGAGTCATTATATTATCATGACATTTTTTTACTTTTAGTTCTATCCCTAAAATACGTGAAGGACAACTACTAGTTTATTTTGAGATTTTTAATTGAACAGGGTTTGGATTTTGTAACCTAATGGAAGAATTGAAGTAATTAAAAAAAGGTAAATTGCATAAACCACCTCTAATCTGAAGTATGAGTGTTATTGCAATTATTACACCCCTAAACTTTCAATGGTAAAAATTAAACACTCAAACTTTCGTAAGTGAAAAATTAGACCCCTAAGCATTTGATAGTAAAAATTAAACCCTCGAACTTTTTATAAGTCAGAAAATTGTACCCATAAATTAAAAACTTTTAAAATATGAGATATATTATGTAAATGAGGGATTTCAATACTAAAAAAATTAGCTAATGCAATCTAACATTCCCTCCTTTCKGTACTATATTGAAGATTGAAAATTTATGGGATTCAATTCAATTTTATTAAGGACATAATTAGGGACGGCAAAAAAATCTGTGGACCCGATCCCTGCACGAATAACTTGACCCGATCAGGTCGGAGAATTCCCGGTTTGACCGGGGACGGGGTCCAATCGGGGATGGTTTTAAGCATTAAATACATGAGAGACAATTACTCATACAAAATACAAAAAAAAAAGTTTAAATTAAAACATATATCAAACTTACCCTATACTTTCCTCTTAGTAATATTATATACTTTTTGCTTTTGAATTTTTTTTAGTACTTATAATATTCCTTAAAATGTATTCAAACTTTGAAAGTAAAAAAGTTTATTGCATATATGAATAATTTTGCCTTTTTACTTTATCCTTTTTAATTAAACGGGAGAGGAAAAAAATAGTTCCCAAACATTTTGTTTTTTATATAATAAACAAGGAAAACATAAAAATGAGAAGAGAAAGAAAAGTAAAGGTTAAGTTATAAATTAAGTTTTTCAACTTTGAATATTATGTTTATTTAATTTTGAATTCTAAAAAAACTATCAATTTTTTATAGATTATAATTTTATTTAGTATCCATCTTTCACATAAACAAAATTCTCACCATGGAATGTCTATTAAATTATGCTTTTTAATAAACCAAAGGAAAAGAGTTTGTGGTCTAATTATATTGTAAATCATATCTGGTTGTTCCTAATAAGTGGTCCTACCTTAACAATGTCGATAAAATCTTCGAATCCCGAACAAAGAAGTGGTGAGTCTTGGAAGATAATAATCATGGTATGATCCGTAGTTGAGCTCTATTGAACATGTGGTGTACTTGGAGATGACTATTTGATAGGAGATTTTCTTTTTTAAGCGAATTTAAAAAGAGGTTTGATCGTACTTTGTTCGAGAAGATGATGATTGAGAATTCAACCAAAGTCTCACGTGAAACGTTAGTTAATTAAGAAGAAGATCGTTAGGTGTTTATATTGTAAGGAAAAAAAAGTCTCTCCAAATGTTACTCAAATTTAAAAATAAAAATAAAAACCCTAATAAATTGAAACTTTGTTATAAGTTGAGAGATGAAATAAATACAATTCTTAGAGAGAGACAAGTAATGGAATTAAGTTCATTGTAGAGAGAGAGAGCAAGCGAAATTCAGATCAAAATCAGAAGAAGAAGAAGAAAGATGAAGAACAAGAACAGAGCAAATTCGAAACTCAGAAGCGATTACCATTTAATTTCTTCCAGTGCTGTGCTCCACAACATCTACACTCGCAGCACACGACAAAATCCTCCGAAAAATCCCAAACAGAATACAACTGCACGAAAATTCCTTCATCTTCCTCCAATTCCAGATCAAACACTTCCTCTTCCGATTCCTACTCTTAACGCCTCTTCTCCTCTTTCTCTCGCCTATCTTCTCCTTCACTCTCCCCAAACACCGCCTCGTTTTCTCCGGCACCGATTCCTTCCTCGAGAATTTGTAGCTCCGCAAGTACATTTGCCTGCACGACACTCCATCGGCCACCAGAACTCGCCGCCTCGCTCGCGAACTCGCCGATTTGGCGATCTCCGCGTCCGAATCCGTCCAACTGTGGAGGTTGATGTACGCGCCCCGCGGCGGACGGCCGGCGTCGCTGATGCAGTAGCTCGCCGTGCAGAGGGAGCTCATTTTTCGGAAGCTTTTTCGCCGATCGTTAATGGGGGAGAACGGAGTGGAGAATCTGGAGCGCTAGCGGAAGATTGATCGAAGGATCTATCTGAGAGTGAGCGAGAGAGAAAGAAGAGGGATTGTCCTTATTGATTTGTTTGTTTTGTAAAGGAAATTTGGGGGAAATCTCAATTTCATCACATGGAGCAAAAATGGATCCGATGCATTTTTTTATTTTGTTTTTCGCACAAATTGATTTATTTTATTTATTTTTTGTCAGTTAGATAAACGGTCTAATATTGACATTATTAATAATATATAGGAAAGAGTTCATTTTTTTATACCAAAACATGGCAAATTGTATTAATTTCCATTTTTAATACAGAAGAGTTATCATTTTTACTGTATATTCCATGATGCTAATTCTTCCACTAATTTTTACTGAAAATAATGACGCCAAAATTTACTAATTTAGCGAAAATCAACTCTTTTCGCAAAATTAAAATAGATTAAGGATTTTGGTAGATTCTCCTCATCATGCATCCCAATGGTTGGTCGAAGCTCCACTAGGTAGTAGCCACTCCCATCTCAGAGAATATATGTGGGAGTATTAAATAATTCTTCTAAAACTTATAAATTTGAAAAGAAAATTACTCTAAGAGATATATTTTTTTTTTATAAATCTTATTAATTTCATAATAAATATATGTTTTATAATCCATTAAATACACGTAGAATACTTTTCAACACAGTTTCAAACGTAAACCTAAATAAAGGTAAAATTTGCAACACTTTATTGAGTATAAGGTGAATATTGTTACATTTAACCAAGTTTAAGATAGTAATTTGATAAAATTAAAAATTTATGGTAAAATTTGATACACATTGCCAAGTTTAGAGTCAATATTGATATTTTTCCTAATATATAGTATAAAATTAATTTTTCTATAAAGTAATTTTCGTAGACAATTATTTGTGTACAATATAATTATTAATAAACAACTATATATTTAAAAAAGTCAATCTGAACGTAGTTCAACTCGTTAAACCTATCTCCGATAAAAAAGGTCGTAAGTTCGAATCTCCACTCGTACTAAAAAAGGTTATCTATAAATCTTTTATATGGATTGATGGTTTGGKTTCTCATCCTTTATTTGAAAAAAATTATATATAATGATTCAAAGCTCTATGTAATTCAAACTTTTAATAGTTAAAATTAAATAAATTTAATATTAATCGTAATATATTTGGAATACTGGAATGCACAAATTAAGAAGACGAACTTGGCCCATTTCTGGGTTAGAGCCGACGGTTAGATTTGATAATAAAGGCCCAACACAATGCATGAGGCCCATGAAAATTGTGGGCTTTAAACGGATCCCACAGTAATAATTGGAGAGAGAGCGAATTTACAGTTGTAATTGGTAGGTAGTTTTTACTTTTCTATTATACGTTCTTAAGAGTCATTTCTTTTGTTTGTTAATTAGTTAACAAAAATATACCTTCATTTTTTAGTCTTGTCGCAAGAAAAAATTTAGTGCTCCACGTGGCCCACTTCTACCCAGACACGCAGACATGGGCATAAACTCGGATCCTCAAGTCAAGGAGGGTGAGAGCACGGAGGAACATCGAGCGCTCAACTTGGTGCCGACCTAAATACGACTATCGTTAGTGCATTATCTATCGACACTTTGTAGAATGATAGTCAAGTGTCAGAGAATCTCTTTATGCTGCTACGCTGATCCTCTCAGAACACGTACAAAGTACGAAATATCATAGCCTCTCATTTCTCATATTCTCCAAGTTTCCTATCTTATACTCTTCTACGCAATACTCCCGTAAAGACTATGGCTCATCGTACACATTTCCTCCACCGAAGTCCTAACTTAAGCATTAGAGAGCATTTGATCGAGCTCCACACCGATGCTAGTTTCTATTGTAGTTTTTTCGAAGATACGTGATCTACATGATATCTGTAAAAAAAAATATACATAAATAAATCTGACACTTTAACTCACTACGATCGTGAAATGAGTTATGAAATTGGTAAAATCTAAAACTATGTATTGTGAATAAAAATAAAAACAAGGGAAGTTGAAAGAGCATTTAAAGCTTTTATTTTAATAATTACAAGTAGACTAAAAGGGGCGGATGGGTTAGGGCAGATATAACACACCCACCTAATGCTCCATCAATAATGAATTTTTCCAAATTTTTTGACAAACGCAAGCGTGTGGAAAACATCCTAATTGAGAGAGATACAAGGTGCCTTCACATTTATTGATATTCAACCCAATAAAAATTTTGCTCGCACTTTTTGGGTTATTTAGTGATTTAAAATGATAGTAAAGCAGAAGTTCCATGTTCGAAGATTGATTTTTTACTTGTTCAATCTTGTTGTGTTCAAAATACCAAGTAAAACCTATTGATCAGTAGACATCAAAATATTACCATGTACTAATAGTAATATCTAATTATCGTTATAAGTCTTAAATTAATATGAGGATTTGAATACTAACTTCGTGGAAGAAAGAGGTACCATTTATTATTTTTACTGTACTAACAAAATATCAGTAGAACCTATATAATTGTTAAACACAATAAAAATAGATAGAATACAATAAATAAGCCACATTAGAAAGCTAATAAGAACTCATAATATGATCCATATGGAGGAATTCGTAGAAAACATACCAATATGTCGCACATCTTGATTCTTAAACATCAACATTAATATAGTTCAACTAATTAAATCATATATTTCTAGCAAAAATATGGCGAGCCAAATAATTTCAAAAGTTGAGTTAATGCTCTAATGTGAGTACGTAGGTAATAGAAATACTAAAAGAAGAGGTTTCGTGAGATTGTAGATAAAAGAAGAGGAGAGTTGCTTTATGGATGACTTGGTAAGAAATTTGAAAGCTCGCCGCAACTTCCCCTTGTTTATTCTTCCGGCCGTTGGGAAATTTGATATTACAAACCCAACCACCGGTATTTCCCTCTCTACGGTTCTCTCCCCTATAAAATTCTGCATCATGGCTCAAAATCTTTTGGGTTTCGTGACTAAATTATTATATCTCCCCACTTTAAACCAACGCGCCGTCGTGGAAAATGGCGGCCGCCGGCAGCAGCGACAATTTCCCATTTTTCTCCAACGAATTCGAGCTGAGAGAGTTCGGCCGGAGTGGCCGGAGACCCACTCTCGGCGAGCTTCTCAAGCGAGTCGAGGACGCTCAATCGCCGGACCACCGTGTCCTCGACGTTAGTTATCCGTGCAGTTCCCTGACGCCGCTACCGCCATTGTATCCTTTCAAGCTCTCGTTCCGGAATCTAACATACAGCGTCAAAGTTCGCCGGAAAGTTGCGTCGTGGCGGCCGGAGAGGGATGGTGGAGTGATGAAGTTGCTGCTTAATGACATCTCCGGCGAGGCGAGGGAAGGGGAAATCATGGCGGTGCTCGGCGCCAGTGGGTCCGGGAAATCCACGCTCATCGACGCTCTCGCTGATCGGATTGCAAAAGGTTATTAGATTTATGAATTCGATCATAGTTCAAATCGGCGGTGACTCTGAATTTGTAAATTGAAAATCGTTTTTACATTCAGGTAGTTTGAAAGGGACGGTGACTCTAAACGACGAAATTTTGGAATCTCGGCTGCTGAAAGTAATCTCCGCGTACGTTATGCAAGATGATCTCCTCTTTCCGATGCTAACTGTGGAGGAGACGCTGATGTTCTCGGCGGAGTTCCGGCTGCCGCGGTCCCTTTCGAAATCGAAGAAGAAAGCCAGAGTACAAG